CATTTTTTATTTTTAGTTTTATTATTATTTTTTTTTTTGACATTTCCTTGTCAAATATCATTATTCGAATAGAAATAGTTAGACCAATGAATAGGTAAGAGAGAGATTGGATTATCAATGACTAAAATAAGACCTTTGATTTTCATTTAAAAATATTTTTAGAAGCCAAACACCAAAAAATATTTTCCTTAAAAATATTTTCAGAACCTTTGCCAAACACCATAAAATCAAAATAGAGAAATCATTTTACCTAAAAAAGTTCTTTATAAAAAATATTCTCCAAGGAAGATATTTTACATCGAAACAAACGGAGCCTAAATGCCCTCAATTTTTATTTATTTATTTATTTTTTTGGTTATGGACTTTTATTATTGCGAATATTAATTGCCTTTGGGGTTTCTTGTTTATAATAGCTTCTTCTTCTTCTTTCCTTTTTTTTTTTTTTTTTTTTTTTTAAAGTTTTCTATTTTCAATTAAAAAAAAATTAAAGGATTATTATACTTAAACTTTGGTACTCACACAATTTCCCACTCTAAAGAACTATTTGCAAAGAAAAATCCATTTTGAAACTTAATACTTCATACTAGGCCATTCCCCTTACCTTTAATGTTTCATATTGTTAAATAACAAATATATTATACTATGGAAATAACATTAGAGTATTATTATATTTATCACATTCCTCTAAAATACCTATATTATTAATTAAAAATACCTATATTATTAATTTTATGGACGCACTAAAAAATTAGTCTCGTACTCCAGTTGTGTTTTAAAGGAAAGGAAATAACATAATTGTCCAAAAAAAAATTTTGAGAGAGAATTATATAATTATTTTCTTTATAAAAAATCAGTGAAATGTGAAATAGTTGTGCGATGCAAGAGTAGTTAGTTGTATGCCATGCTAATATATTTTTAGCAAGTTATATTGCAGCATTGTGATATTTTTGCAATGTTATATTGTTAATTTTTGTGTACTTGCTCAAATAAAAAGGTATAAGTCATATGCGTTCCAAGTCTAGTTTATATTTTTAAATGTATGGTATGATTTTGTTTTTTTTATATAGACTAGATAATTTTCTTCACACTTTTTGTCGTAACAAAATTGGAATTTCACAATGTTAGATGGAATGATAGAATTCATTTTCACAAGTTAATTTTTGTGTACTTTATTTTTGTTTTTTATTTCTATTTTTATTTTTACTTTTTTTTTTTTGTACTTCTAATTTCTATTTTTATCTTTACTTATCCATTGCCGGCGTCCTCCAATAGTATCATTTTTGGTCATTTTATAAATTTATTTATTTTTATATATTTTATAAAATGGTTAGTAAATGTAATTTAGTTAACTTGAGGTTTCAATTTGTCAGAGGGACCTATTTGTACCAAATTAAACTTTAAAGTTATTTTTTGTACGTGAGGAGTGTGATATGCACTGTAAACATACTTTTAAAATATTTTATGCAATTGACCCGTTTTACTTAAGTATATATAATGGGTTTGTTAGATCATTGTTTTTTCTTTTTTTTACTGGTTTATGATTGTTAATTTTAGGCGTGCATAGTTAGGCATTGATCTTTAACATCATGCCGTGTGGATCTGGATATTGGTCTTTCATTTTGGCTAAATATGCAGAGTGTAAATTTAGGTATTGGTCTTTCATTTTTGACTAAATATGCATCGGTCAGTCCTGGTGATCGATGCTTACAACCTATGAACCCTACCATATTCCACCTTTTTCTAAACTTTCCATTTGTTTTATTCTTTATTTTTCCATTTCAATTTTGGAAATGCTAAAGTCAGTGACTTGTCACTTTATAAGTCCAAGTCTTCTACATTGATCACCCACCCACTTGCAAAAATAAGACATACAATACTTATATATATCACCGCTAATTAACTTATATATATAATTATAAACGCATATAGGATATCCTACAACTATCTGTATTCAGTTCTTGGTAGGAGCCGCAAATTAAAATGATAAACAAAGCTTCCTCGACCACTTCTTCCATCATATGCTGCTTGTTCGTGATTTGGATTATCATGGTTTCACCTCATGTACTCTCTGCGCGGAAATTAGCCAGCAACCGTAAGTGCTCTCCCTCTCTAGCTTTCTCTCTCTTCTCTCGGTCTCTCTCACACATTCATATTCATTCATTTTGTTGTATTGAGTTTTGCAGAACACGGAGGAAGTCATATGCAATCAACTAAAAACCACCCACGCCACGCCGGATCTGCTATGCCATCAGGACCAGTACCAAAAGCACCTACCAAAAGTGGCTATAAAAATGTAGGAAGTACTGGAGCAAGAGTCAGAAACATCTGTGCCACATATAACCGGTGCCGTAGAAACGCTAATCCATAGAAGTACAAGTTGGTGAAACCGAAACAAGCAAAGCAGCTGGTTCACATATTTGTGGGCGGGAATTTTAGTCATTTGTAACTACAGAGCTTTTATTTGGATGATATATATGATATGATCCGGTGGCAGAGTTGATAATTTTTTTTAGTGGGGCAATCTTGTAGTAATAATAATAATAATAATAATGTAATATAAATAAATAAATATATTTGAACCAAAATAATAGATGCAAAATTAAAGGGTCGACTTATAATATTTTATTTTAATAGGTTTAATAATAACCTCATTGTGATATATATTTGTAGCATTTCTGTTCGTTTGTAGTTATAATTTTAATAGTAGTTATAATTTCAAATAATTTTTGTTTTTTCTTTAGTCAGTTGATTGATTAGAACATCAAATAATAAATAAATTAGATAATCACAAAATAAATTAAATAACCTATTGACGGTTTGAATGCCAAAACCTTTCTTGTCCTCTTCTTCGATCTTCTCTTTTCCTGTTCTGGTTGTCAGATTGCTCTTGCCAATGGCTATGGTTTTTATTTTTTATTTTTTATTTTTTTATTTTTTATCAATCTCTCTTACACATGATTAAAGGGTAAAGACAGAAAAAAAGTCTGAGTTTATTCACATATATTTTTCTATTCAGCTAACCTAAAAGTTTTATTCCGAAATGTTATTAGGATAATGTCATAAATTCTATTATAATTATTATGTGTGTTGCATGTAGAGCCATATTTCAGCGTATAATTTTTTTTGATAATAACAGGGAAATGTAATCCTTGTTGAATAAGCAGTTGAGGGTTGGGCTCTTCAAATGTATACGTACATTATTATTGAGAGGTATGAGTAGAAAGACAGGGCAATCTTGCAAGAAGAGAGGACAATGGGTGGAGATTATGTAGTGATGAGTTTGGGTGAACCATGTGTAGGGGTTCATTTTCGTAACACGATAAAATGCATATAAATGGTGATATCATGCACAAATCTAAGTGATCCAAACGACACAATAGAATCTGAAGTAGACTAAGAGAGATGGAAGCACAGGCAAACTCGAGAGAGAGAAGTTAAAGATGACAATGTAATAGTATATCATTGACTCCCTTGGTGAAGATGTATGGAGAAAGTATGAGAGATTATCTCCTCCTCCCTTTCTTTTGCTCTACCTCTACTTGGTCTTGGAGCACATCCTTATACAGGCCAAGTGAGAGGTTGGGTGATGACATATGTGGAGCCCATTAACATTATAAAATAATATTAATTAAAATGGGTCTAAAATGTATGGGAGTCAAAATGGTGTCTCTCTCTCAACGAGTCAAGTCGAGTGTCAACTCAACGAGCCCTGAACTTCATCCACCAAACCAAGAACCTCCTCAGATCCTAAGTAATCCTGAGTCATGCTCCCAACTCAGGTCTTCAAGTCTTCAATCTTCTGTTCGAGGTATACCGACGTGGTAAGTGTCACGTAATTTAGACCGTTCGACCGTTTGACTTGTGGGCCATCGTTTCTGATGTAGCGTCGCTTGTTGACCATTTGACCAAGCTTTGTGGTCCATTGTTGATGATGTGGCATTGTCTATTAACCGTTTGAGCAAGAAATGTGAGCCATCTGAAGTGAGATATATTCAACACCTACACCATGTAAATTGGAATTACTTTTCTTCTTCTGATTTAAATCTTTCGCTTCCGTTATGCTCAATAAGTGGTATCATTCAACTGGGGTTGATGTCCAGAAGACAAAAAATACAAGAAGTCTCAACAAGTATTGCAATGATTTTAGTTGCAGGTAGAGTCGATCAGTCACAATTAGGAGTGGACAAATAATCCGTGAATTCGATCAAATCCGTACGGATCAGATCGAATTGCTACACTCACGGATCAATGATGGATTCAAAAAAATCTAATCCGTAGCTCACGGATTGGGATATTAAAAATCCGATTTGTGAGTCCTATCCTATCCGATCCGTGAAATTTATATATATATTTTCAAAATATATTAGTTATTAATTTAATTATTTAATGATAATTTAATGGACTCTAGGATGTATTAGTTAATAATTATTTAAATATATGAATTTAACATTAATAAATTAAAATATTATCTATTGGGTTATGGTTAAAAGATAAATAAATAATAAATAATATTAATTATAAAAATAATAATGAATAATTTAGATAAAATCTAATCCGCAGATCCAATCCAATTTGATACATTATTGTTAGTACGGCGGACATACTTTTATAAGTGTTTCCCATTTTACTTTGATATAATGGATTTGTTAGATCATTGCTTTTTTTTATTTTTTTATTATTTTTTAAACGGCTTTGTGATTGTTAATTTGTTCCCAATAACATTAATTTTAGGCGTCCGGAGTTGGGCATTGATCTTTAACATTATGCCGTGTAGATCTGGTTATAAGTCTTTCATTTTTGGCTAAATATGCATTGACCAGTCCCGGTGGTCGAATATCTATGCTTACAACTAACTATGAACCCTACCATATTCCACCTTTTTCTACGCTCTCCATTTGTTTTATTCTTTATTTTTCCATTCAATTTTGGAAACTCTTGTAGTATGATAAAGTCAGTGACTTGTCACTTTATAAGTCCAAGTCTTGTACATTGATCACCCACTTGCAAAAGTAAGACCTACAATATTTATATATATCACGGTTAAAAATTATCCAACTTACTGCTGACCCATGTTAAATATAGTTAATTCAAATTTATTAAAACATATATGAGCGAGTTATAATTCCTAACCTATTTTATTATTTTACCACCCTAGATATAGTACATCTTTCCGTATTCAGTTCTTGGTTGGAGCCGCAAATTAAAATAATAAGCAAAGCTTCCTCGACCACTTCTTCCATCATATGCTGCTTGTTCGTGATTTGGATTATCATGGTTTCATCTCATGTACTCTCTTGCGCGGAAATTAGCCACCACTCCCAGCAACCGTAAGTACTCTCCCTCCCTAGCTTTCTCTCTCTTCTCTCGGTCTCTCTCACACATTCATATTCATTCATTTTGTTGTGTTGAGTTTTGCAGGTTACCAATCCTTTCCAGCATGACGCAGTAGTTTGGGACGCTGTACTGACTACAACCGGTGCCGTACAAACAGTAATCGACAGAAGTATAAGCTCTCTTTCTCTCTCTTCTCTAGGTCTCTCTCCCACATTCATATTCATTCATTTTGTTGATTTGAGTTTTGCAGATCGCGGAGGAAGTAATACGGCATCAACTAAAAACCCTCCTCCACACCACGGCCAAAAGCGCAAGTACTCTCCCTCTCTAGCTTTCTCTCTCTTCTCTCGTCTCTCTCACACATTCATATTTCATATTCATATTTGAGTTTTGCAGATGACGGAGGAAGTAAAATGGCATCAAATAAAAATCATCCACACCACGGTCAATCTGCTATGCCATCAGGACGAGTACCAAAAGGTTCAAAAGTCTCAAATCAAACAAATTGACCCATTGAGGCAGTCGTATGGGACCACGTATGCCCGGTGCCGTATAAATTAACGGTCATCCATAGAAGTATAAGTTGGTAAAACCGAAACAAGCAAAGCAGCGGGTTCACATATTTGTGGGGGGAATTTTAGTCATTTGTAACCTCACATTCCTTTTATTTGGATGATATATATATATATGATCAGCAGTGCTACTCAAATAAAAGTGCATTCTAAGTCCTAGTTTATTATTTTAAATGTACGGTATGATTTTGTTTTTTATATATACAAGATAATTTTTGTTACTATTTTGTGTCAATTTCACAATGTTAGATGGAATGGCAGAAATCATTTTCTAAGTTTAGGGTACATTTGTTTGAACGTAAAATATTTTTTTATTTTTTGGTAATTGATAGTAAAATATTTTCGAAGAAAAAAAATATTAAAATTTAACAAAAATAATTTATTCATAAATTTTCGACAAGTTATTTTACATACCCCACCTGATGGAATCGGCCTCAATCTCGATGTAGACCTTTGCCAAATACCGATAATGTAAAAATAAAAAAAATATTTTACTTTGAAAAAGAAAAATATTTTTTTAAAAAAATATTTTACATTTAAAGGGGTAAGTTTCTATATAAAATAAGAAAAGATGTACATGGAGCCCGGGGAAATACAACACAACACAAAAAATATTTTACATTTAAAGGGGTAAGTTTCTATATAAAATAAGAAAAGATGTACATGGAGCCCGGGGAAATACAACACAACACACCAATATATATATTAAATAATAAAGTTTGAGATGGTGGTGTAAGCATATAAATAAAGTTGGCGCATAAATTACCATCTGTTTTTCTCTGCAGAAAACTGGAGGAAAAAAATAGTGCAACCTTTGAAGCCCAGAGTCTGAAAAATTATTTATAATTGCACCATGGTCTCTCTCTCTCTATATATATATATTATATATATAATACAGTATATATTAAAGATATTGAAAAAGCAATTAATCAAAATAGTGGGACCAGTAATCCATTCAGCAAATTAAAGTATTTCACATATCCAGAATTAACAAACAATCGAAAAATAAATGAAACCCTGAGTGAGTTGTGATTCAAGGATACCTACTGAATATCAAATGCAACTATGCCCAGAAAGTGATATCATCTAACAAAGCAATTTAAAATAAATCAGCCAATGTTAACAATTACTGCTCCATGCCTGCATCATAAAGATTCAATAAATTAATCAATAGATTATATTTATCGAGGAATGAATTTTAATAAAGACATGTAACACTCATAATTGTACCTCCTGATTTGGTCTGTGCGTTTGACCAGGCCAAACACTTGAGGAAATATGGGACACGGTGGCACCTGTTAGTCCGATCATCTCACAAAAGCTTTTTCAAACACATTTCTTTTTTCCAATCTTCATAGCATGGGATATGATTACCCTACTTCATAACACGTACTCTTCACATATAATCATTCCCAAAAACCTACACCATAGAGAAATTGTTACTTTTTCAAAAAATATAAAAATAAAATTAATAAAATTTGTATAAATACTAACCAGAAAATTTCTTGTGTTCCGAAGAGAATCTAAACAGATTTTCGCAAAATGAAATCAGGTTTGCTTGACCTTGAATTAGACTACTCAGGCTTAAATAAGATCTTACTAAGAAATAATAATAATAATAATTTTAAAATCTTCAAACCGTATTTATTTAGAAAAGCAGATTTCACCGAGAAACGTAAATTGTGAATTTTCTTTGGCTTCTTCGTAAAGTAATACACTAGACATCAGATAGAGATGCGACACCTGTAATTTTTTTAGTTCAGTTTAAACTCTGGCCCACCAAACAATAAAAATTACTATATTAATTTTAATTCAGTTTAAAAAAAAAAAAAAAAAAATTATTAATAATATTAACTCACCTCAAAATTTGCCCATCAAAGCAAGCCCAAGTCAACTTAGCCACCATACTAAAATAAAAGCCCAAGCTAAATAAGTCCAGGACCAGCCTGGCCCGATCCTGACCCAAGGTGGTCGCCTAGGACCTCAAAATTTATAGGCCCATGGATGATGGACCAGAAAAAAATAAAAAAATAAAAATTAGGGCAAATCATTTCAACCTCCCCATGTGTGTCCATGTCTATTCTCGTTCTCAACTCTGAACTGCAAAATCTACTAGAATCAGAAGTTCAAAACCCATATATTTCAGTTAATCTATCTGTCTGCAAGAATCAAAAGTTCAAAACCTATTACTTATATCAAAACCCATATCGGCATATCATTTCAGATTGTTCAAAAAATCAAAACCCATATCCTTCAGTTTCCATCACCCGCTGTTCCAGTTCGGCTTTGCCATTTGCAAGTTTCAGTCGCTGGCCCACTGTCTCTCAATTCTCAAGCTTGCCCCCCTCTCTCTCCGCAACTGCTAACTAATCCAGGTCTTTAATTTATTTTTGCAACCTAAATCCTATTTGGTGAAATTTTTTATGATTTTTTTTATATAATTTTTTTTATTTTTTTTATAATATAAAGTAACGAAATTTACATTGCATTTTGAGGTAATCACCATAATCTACATTTTATTTCAGCAAAACAAATATATATATATATATATATATATATTATAACTTCTATTTTTAATTTTTTTTTTTTTTTTTTTTTTTTTGTGTTGTTAATTGTATCTACATGAAAATTTGAATCTGGGCATGAAAAAAAAAAAAAAAAAAAAAAAAAAAAAAAAAAAAAAAAACCTAAATTGGATTGAATTGGATTAGAAATCTGCATAGATTGAATCTGAAACAATTTTTATCAACATGCCAAGCTTTTTGAAGATGTAAATCTTTTTCAGAACTAAAAAAAAAATCATAACAAGAACTTTGACAAGCAAAAGTACTTAATATAGGGTAAAGCTCTAAAGTTACTTCTTGAAAATTAAAATACTTACAAAAAGCATGCTTTTGAGTGAATTTCATAGTGTTGGAAGGGGCTTGCCATGAACTACCTCACACTCTGCTTCCCCTAGTAGATTCTCAAATAGGATTAGTAAATTGGTCAAAAGAAGAGATAGGGTACTGAGTGGTCAATTGGTCAGAAATAAATTGATAATTTTTTTTATTAATTACCCAAATAGGATTTTCTTTGCCTTAATCAGTCAATTGTCTAAAGAAACATTGTTAATTAACTAAAATTGAATTAAACAATAGTTGATTTTGGTTGTTATATTTTGATTTAGCCCACCCCATTGAAAAATCCTGAATCCGCCTTGCTTATACCCACTCATTACTAAAATCTTTTAACCTCACTCTCGGATAACAAACTCTTGTTAAGATTTATTTATACAACTCCCTAACAAAGTTTAAATATTTACAAACTATTTAACTCTTCTAAAATTTATAAACGATTAAATATTGTAGAATTCTCTAATTCTTAACAACACTTCATACATTCTTATTATTTCAAATATTTTATATTATTTTGGAATGAAAATAAACTAGGCATAAGAGAAGAAAAATTGACCACCCGTTCAATGTGCAAAACTTCCTGATTTATTGAAAACATTTATATATATGAACGCTGACCACAATTAAGGGAAGTAACGGGAATTATCCAAACTAAAAGGCATGTCGATGTAATTTAACCTATGGTAACAGTAAATTATCTTTTACTTTTTTTATAATTTTATATAGTGTGGGTATATATATAAACAATAAAAATACACACTATATTATATTTTTTTTACGCCCATTTCATGTTAGCTTAAGGGCATGTTTGGTGTGGTGGAATGAATTGGAATGGAATGAGAATGGAGGTAGGAATGGAATGAGAATGGAATGGAATGAGAATCTCATTCCACCGTTTGGTTGTAAATATGGAATGTGTAAAAATGGAATCTCATTCTCATTCCTATATTTGGTAAGAAAGTTAGAATAAAATGAATTTATATTATTTCTTTAAATTACATTTTATTATTAGTAAAAAAAATTAACTAAAAAAATTAATTTGCAAAAATAAAAGGGAAAGAGATAATAGAGAGAGAAAAATAAACGAGATAGAGAGAGGGGGAACAAACAGCATATAGATACATATTATATATATTATATTTTATATAGTGTGTGTATGCGTGAATTATCTCTTTAAATTATTTTATTACTTTATTAATTCTTAGTGGGAATTGAATGGTCATTCCACCTCTCAAGAAGTGGAATGGGCATTCCACCTTTTTGATGGAATGGGCATTCCCTAGGAATGGCCATTCCACTTTTAATGTGACACGCCAAACAAGAGAATGGAAACAAATGCATTCCATTCCACCTTCATTTGATTCCATTCACTCACACCAAACATAGCCTAAAAGTTTTGGCCCATCATCCCCTATGTCATCCAGCCTTTTGGAATATATATATATATAATCTTAAGTTACAAGGTTTGGCCCATTTCATTTAAAAATTAAAAGTTTTGGCCCATCCTTTTTCTCCTTTTCAGCCCAAATCAAATCCCCAATCTTAGCCACAACAATGGCAATGGATTGCTGCTCATCAAAGATGGCAATGGCCAAGGCGGCGCACTACATCGCTCTCTCTGTCTATTCCTTCCAAAATTTCGCAGTGAATATTAGATCGTGATGATCGAAATTTGGGTGAAGAGTAGGGCTGCAACTCAGACGGGCCCAACCCGAATTTACCCGAGCCCAGTTCACATTTTTATGGGCTTGGACAATGATTTTTTGTTCTGGGCCTGGGGCTGGGTTGAGTTTATTGAGCCCGAATTCAATTCGGGCCAGGCTCGGGTAGATATGTTATGAAGCCCAAAGCCCAACCCGAACCCGCCCGAAATGCTAATATTGGTTATGAATTTTATATTTTGTTGGAATGTGGCTTGTTATTTTGTTAACTTTGTACTTATTTATTATTAATGTTGGACTTGTATGTTTTGTATTCAAGGCCTATACGTTCTGTATGTTTTGAATGTTTTGTTAACTTTGTATGTTTTGTATTTTGTTGGAAGCGTCATCACAGATTCAAGGCCTTGTGGTACTGCAACTTTATCATCATCATCAGCTTCTGGAGTTGTCATCTTGATGTTGTTGGAGAAGATGATGCACTACTTGAACATGATGAGGTTGAAACTTGAAACTCATACAACTACTCCAACTCCAAGCACTAATAAAATTGAGAGAGCCCGATTTAAAAGTCCAAGAAAACTCGAAAATATAACTTGAATAAAGAACCCAAGTTTAGCCCGTGTTTTAAAAATTAAGTATGGGCTGGGCTTGGGCTCACTAGGCGAAATTATACCTGGGCTTGGGCTAGGCTTAGGCTGAAGATTTGTATGTTGGGCTGAGCCTGAGTTAAGTGTCCAACCCGCCCAACCCGCCCGAGTTGTAGTCCTAGTGAAGAGTGGCGTTTGTATCAGGTACGAATATAACTCACTTATATTATATATATGTGTGTGCATGTGTGTGTGTGTGTGTAGATATATATATATATATATATATATATATATATATATATAAGTTATATACACAGCGCGCACACACCGATAGATTTTGTTTTGAGTTTGTATCATGCAATCGGTTTGAATTTCTTTTGTTTATCTAATCGAGCAACCAAGCCAAGCTTGAACACCATGGTTACTCGAACTCTCATTGTATTTGAGACATAAGTCTTAACCTATAATTTCAAAATGTAAGGAGATACCACTTAACTACCACCTTGATAATCAACATCAAATTATTTTAAAGTTTTAAATATTTGACTGATTAATAAAAAATAACTTATAATTATTGATAAAAAAAAAAAAATCAATAATAATGATAAAAGCAATTAAACGAGTGCATCGTATGACCTGTGCAAGTGCAAATATAGAACAGATTTACAAGTCTTGTGTCGAACTTGCCACCAAAATATATGTATAAAGTATTTAAAATACATCAAAGAATATTGTTGATATGAGGTTGTCGGAAGAGTGAGGATATCGTTCCACGTTTGTCAAAAATGCTGAGACCAGAGTTTGAGTGGAGATCCGAGCTACCCGAGGAATTCTCTCTTAGGGGATAGATTAAGAAAGAGAAGGCAGCTGCTTAGTACCCATGTAGCTCAAGTCCTAGTGAGTAGTTTCGTCCCTTTAATGATCAATTACGGCTCTTATTTATACTATCTTTTCAGTCGGATAAAGACCCTAGGTCGTGAGAGTTCACTCCCTTTTGACCGGTGGTTCCTCTGACGACCCTCCCAATGGATGGGACGTCAGTAGGTGGCCCGAGAGAACCCTCAGACCTCTGCTTAAGGTGGCGACGGTAGTATGCATTTAATCCCCCATATCGTGGCATTCGATATCATTTGAAAGAATATAATAACCGTCCTCTGGAAAATGAAAGAGATTTGTTCAATCTTTGTCACTCTTCCTTACGGACCTTCATTGAACGTGATTTTGGTGTAGTGAAGAAACACTTCCATGTGCTTGATGCCGAGCCTTTTTGGGACTATCCAACCCAAGTTAATGTGGTACTAGCATGTTGTATCTTACACAACCACATAATAGGAGTTGATTCAAATGACGGGATTATGCAAGACACCAATGATGAGTTTCAAACCAAAAGACAAAGACTCCAATAAACACAAAGAGAAGAGAGGGCAGCAAGTAGGGAGTTGGCAACTAGAAGGGATGCCATAGCCCATGCTATGTATGATGACTACATAAATAGAAGAAATTTATACAGATCATTGTTGTTTCTTCTTCTTATTCTTCTTCTTCTTCTTGCTTTTGCTATTTGCATGGGTTAACCATTTGTTCGTTACATGTCCTCTTTTTTTTTTTCTTATTTCCCGAAAGTTAAAATCAGGTTTTAGAAAAAAAAGAACCAAACAAAGGCTAGCCCAATGCTAACCAATGCGGCCAAGAATTACAAGACAGACTTTTCAACCAAAACAGACATTACGGCCCAAACATTTAAAAGGACCTAAGGCCCAATCAAGGAAGCCCATTCTAGAGTCAAGAAGACTGTTGGAGGCAAACTCTGCTGCGAGGCTCGTGGAGAAGATCTCCTCAATCTCCTACATTGTTGTCAGGTGGTTTCACCAGTGGTCTTGTGGTTAGCACAATAGACGGAAGCTCCCATTCTTCTGCAATTCTGCTGGGGTTCGAGGAGTCAATTGTTGGCTGGAGTGCAATTTCCGTCAAACTAGCTCCAGAGCTTCGTATAAGATTGAGTTTGCGTGTCCTCTTGCTAGTGCTATTTGGAAATGGT